AGCAGACATTCACCCCCCTGCGAGCAGACATTCACCCTCCTGCAAGCAGACATTCACCCTCCTGCAAGCAGACATTCACCCTCCTGCGAGCAGACATTCACCCCCCTGCGAGCAGACATTCACCCCCCTGCGAGCAGACATTCGCCCAAGTGTGACCAACTAGCAGAACACAAAGCGCCTGGCGATCTGTGAGGTCAGAGAAGCTGGAAGTGCTGACCCCGAGCCCGCTATAATGTAACCCTGAGCGCTGGAGACTGAGAGGGGCCCCCAGACTGCACCCCGGGGCCCCTGAGCACAGCCTCCTCTCACCTGAGATATCTGCAGCCTCCTCCGCTCCCTCTCTCATCTCCCAGGAAATGGCGTCTGGGAATGGCAGAGCTCAGCTTAAAGTGGCCACACACTGCCAGGGGGGGCCCACCGGAGGCGGGGGAGGGGCACACAGGAGCCTGGCCCGCCCCCTCCGCCTGTACTCACATGTCCTCACGTTTCCCATGATGAAGGATGTTTATATACACATGTTGCATGTTACATGTTTACATTACAAATGTTTGTGGGATTCGTTCCTCACACACAGAACACATTCTTCTTCTTCTCCTCACAATAAGGAAACATTCCATGAATACAATCCGGCCGCAAATCTCATTCATTTCCATCGTAGAGATAGAAAAACCCAAGCCACTTGTTTTGTTGTTGTCCCCTTGGAATGAATTCCCTTTCACTTCCTGTCCGGAGACACAACAGGAAGTGAGGTGACATCCCTCATGGGCAGCTATCACTAGCACGGGTGTCCCTTTTTTTTTTTTTGCTGTGTCCCATTGGAATGATTTCCCTTCACTTCCTGTCCTAGTGACGCAACAGGAAGTGAGATGAAATCGTCTCCTAGGCAGCTATCACTGGAACAGGTGTCCCCAATGTTTTTTTTTCGTGTCCCATGTAAATTATTTCCCTTCACTTCCTGTCCTAGTGACACAACAGGAAGTAAGATAGGCAGCTATCACTCTCACATGTGTCCCTTTTTTTTGCTGTGTCCCATTGAAATGATTTCCCTTTCACTCCCTGTCAAGGAGACACAACAGGAAGTCAGGTGACATCCCTCATTGGAAGCTATCACTGGAACAGGTGCCTCTATTTGTTTTTCTTGTGCTGTGTCCCAGTGGAATGATTTCTCCTTAACATCCTGGCCAAGTGACACAACAGGAAGTAAGGTGACATCCCTCATAGGCCACTTATCTCCGGAACATGTGTCCCCATTTTGTTTTTTCTTACTGTGTCCGATTGAAATGATTTCCCCTAGACTTCCTGTCCACGAGACACAGAGGAAGTGAGGTGACATCCCTCATAGCAGTGTCACCATTGGTTTTTTTTTTTTCTTAACTGTTTCCCATCTGAATGATTTCTCTTCACTTCCTGCCTCAGACACACAACAGGAAGTGAGGCGAAATCTCCCCTTAGACCTCAAGCCTGTCACTGCAACAGGTGTCCCCGGTGGAAGATTTCCTCTCTATTCCTGTTCTGGTGACAACTGTACCCTTTTCGATCCATCGATTTCTATCTCTAATGATAGAGAAGCAGGAGAGAGGGGGAGGGGACACAGACAGTGATAAAACCTGACAGGGGTTCTGATCCCTCCAAGCTCCGCCCCCGCTATAGACTACAATCTCCATACAAATGAGTAAACTAAACATGAGATTGTAGTCCATCCCGGGGGGCGGAGCTTGGAGCGGTGACTACTCTACAACACACACAGGGACCATGGGGAACAGACGTAGTCACCCTCCAGAAGGAAGGACAGTGGACAGCTGAACTCCTGGAGGTGC